GAATATGAATGATTCCGAAATTGGCAAACTGTCATTCTTGATATTTCTCCCCTGCCATTGAGGATATATTTCGTTTTATTTTATGTACAGTTATTTTATGTTAAGATTTTGATAAACACAACTATTCATAAATTTGTTGGCGCTTAAACTGTAAATACCGCTTAATGAAAATATTGTATTAACAGTTCAATAGTGCTTTACAGATGCAACAGCTGCAACAAAAAGCAATCGTTCTTATTGTATGGTTGTTTAACACTGATATGTGAGAAACCTATTGAATAATTTTTACAGGATCCAAAAATCACAATCTTTTTCGTTGAGATGATGTGAATTTATTTTTTCATTTACAAATTTATATCTTACGAACAATTTTTCTGAATCAAATTACGTTCGCCAATCGATGGGTACTGTATATCGCCGATGGTGTAATTTTGATGGAGCTTGATTTACAACACAGTGTTGAACACGAATTAACGCTCAATTTTTACAGAAAGATCCTTTACTAACTTTAAAGAAACAGTTTCGTTCAGGCGTGTGAAATAGTTACCAAGCGCAGAAACAATCAGACAAGAAAGACCTTGCTGAACATCCTTCGGGAAAGGACCTCGAGCTGATGTTCATATATAGCAGAAACACGCGTTTGACAGTTAACACATGCAGATGTGATAGGTTCGCTCTTCTTACGAGTTGTGCAAATCTAACGACCATTTCCGCTTGAGCTTCCCCACGGGAAAACGCGACTGCGAGAAACAGTAAATGGCGGTGTCTAGCTTCGGACCCAGTTTTCCTGGTCCATCGCCGGGAGGTCGATCGGTTTCCTGATTCCCTGCAACCTCTCGTTCTTTCGTTTATTGCATCTTGCTTTGATTGTTGGAGCTTCAGCTGCTCAGAAAGAACAAAGGATTATAAAGTGAGAATGAAACGGAGAATATTTCCAAATTACGTAATAAACACATCTACGCCATATACAGAAACGGCAAAATATTGGTGGAAACGTTAGACAGGTTAATTTGGCCACTAAAAAATCTTTCGCATAGCACAACCAGTCTTTCGCATGTTCTCACAGTGACGAATACCAAAGGAACGGTGAAGAACAGGTTTAAAACAATCATGAACCCTTTCCAAGATTTCATCCGATTATTTATTTTAAAAGGCTGACAAAGAAAAATCAACGTTAGACAATCAGCAAATTCTTCGTTTTTTCCCTGGTTCAGAAGATTGAGCCCGTCGGTCCGTCGTTCTTTTCTCTTCGTTAAAGCACTAGTAGCCCCTCCGTACGCAACAAGAAGATGGCCGAGGCAAAAAAAGAGGTGAATTGCAAAGGCTTACTATTTTATGGCCGTAAATGTTGGAACGGCTACCAAAATCACGGAAGGTAAATGATTTGAGCAACTTCGCATACCGTTTTCCCTCTCTGTTACGCATACAGATCCAGTACGCTGGCGCGTCCTAATGACCTTTGTCTGCTACCTATTAGAGCAGAGGCTCGCTTTTACAGGCGTTTTGGGTATGGTGACGTCAACTAATTAATCGAGCTCTCAATTCTAATGGTCAATAAAGTATCATCAGTCCAGCCTGCTCTTGGTCAACAGTTTGTCTGGTTGGAGGCATTCAACGGTGCTTTCCCTATAGAACAAAACCATCTTTTCGTCATTTTTTCGAAGCTGTTTTAAAGATGAAAGTTTAGAAAATCAAAACTCCGCCGTTGCCGGCCCCAAATCCGGATGAAAATAGAGGAGCGTTGGAGACCGTCGCAAGTCTCCGTAAAATTCAGCCACCTGTCACTCGTGGTATTGACGCCATCAAAAATTATACCGGCTCGATCGTCGCCCGGGATACCAAGGGCCCAGCAGGCTGTTGGGGGACTGAGGCAGACAGCGAAAAGTCGGCGATCAGAATCTGCTCATTGCCCTCTGCCAGGTGGGGGCATGGCAGCACAACGACGGTTGACGAAGACCGACGCAACGACGACGAAGATACCAGTCAAAAACGGAGTCGCCACCCGTTCTGAGGAGGCGGACAGCGCGATGCCATTACAGCACGTCAGAAAAGGCTCCACGGAAACGACACCACCAGTGGGACCTTAAA